CACACGGGATCCTTTGGAAAACACCCTTTCTATCAAGGTACCTAAGCCTGTCCGTAGGCTGTACAAGTTGTGCCCGTAAGATGGTTGGTGGTTGGTGTGCTACTTGCCCTTCGACATACTCAGACATAATATCAGGTCATTTTTTTATGCCTGGGTGATTGTGCCATTCAAAATACCTTTTTTTATTCTCGGTACTTCATACGCTGGCGCACGAAGTTCCGTGCGTATCCACTGTTGGAGAATAATTGAAAGTGGCATTTAATTTCTACTTGATCACTTTTATCATGAGTTTTAGCTCAGTTAAGGAGGCTGTAGACAAAACTCATTTTGTGATAGAAAGGTTCGTTACTCCCAAAGTGACGAATGAGCTCAGAATAGGTTTTCGCGCAACATACTGATGTACGGAGTGATCAACGAATGAGTATTTCGATGTCCAAGGACATCCAGCAATGGGAGTTGTACATCAACCTCCCTCTCGAATGTGAATTAAGGTCCTGGGAATTTAAAATTGAGCTTCTTACGGAGCAAGTCGAAACTATTCCTCTTGACGATGTCAAACGTGTCATCTACGTATCGCAGCCAAAATTATGGTTTAGTTTTTGGAAGAAATATGGATTCTAACTTCTGCATTACAGTTTCGGTCAGGAAGCCGGTTATGGGCAAACCCCGCGGGAGACCCTTTAAATTTCTGATAGCACTGGTCGAAATAAGTAAATTTGGTTTCTAGCCAATGATCTAGCAGTTGGAATACAGCATCAGCAGGAAAATCAGTAACATAAGTCTGAAGTAGCTCCTCAGGGCTTCTTCCTTACTGCAACAATATACTTTAGTTGACCCAATTGTGAAAAAACTCGCGGCATTTGGCGGGATTCGAACCCGCAGGAAGGCCTTCTACGCAAGCCAACGCTTACCCACTTGTAGCTACGAATCTCGCGCTTCACACCGCGAGTTTCATCACACTTCAGTCAGTATCAGTCAGTATATTTGGAGTTAATGACCGAAGCCCTTAAAAACTCCATTGAAACGGTACAGGAATGCATAAGTTTTTGTGAAATATGCAAACATTGTTACAGATCGCTTTTGTTGTGCAGAAGAGCACAGAAATATTTTGGAAATATGAATTGTTAAAAAGGTGAGGCGTTTTCGGAATGGCAGCGTACAAAAAGTTCACTGTACATCCAGTCACTTGTGATCGTTTAGTGTAAACAAAAACTCTATTGAAATCAAACGAGTAGTAGGTTTGTTTGTAGTGTTTGTCGTCATTTAAATTAGTTGGTTGTTGGGTTTTAACAGATGATTATCCAAACGTCTCTTGAAGACGTTCACAGTGGGTGAATGCACAATAGACTCGGGCAAGGAGTTTCACTGTCGAATGATCCTTTGAGAGAAGAAGGATGAACGATGGTTTGTTCGGCTTAGTTCCTCCTTCAACTGGCAGTCATGTCTTCTGAGGTTCCTTCTTGGGGTTATTTGAAAGAGATCCTCCCACTTGACATCCAGACCAGTTCCTGTTAGTAACTGGGAAGTCGCTATAAGGTTCCCTCTGTCTTGTCTATAATGGAGGGGGAAGAGATGTCAAGCAATCAACATCTGTTCATATGTGGACTGCTTAATTTCAGGGACCGCCTT